TCTTTGCTGCCTGGTTAAAACTGATCTTTATGTGAGGAGATATAATTGAGATGTACTGATTTGATACGTACTTGTAGTGTCCGACAGGTCGCATCTCATTCAAACTCTATGATTGGAATCCAGCGGAGTTCCCTCGAAGACTTCGGCATCAAGTATTATTAAAAGATTGTTATTACAGTTTAGTATATAGAGTGGGAATTATTTTAATAGAAATATGTCAGGACTTGGATTAACATGTGGGTAAATGTGTTTACAGATATTCCAATGGTTGGCCAGTATGCCGGTTGAGTTGGAGGGGTATATCCGCCCTGGATGTACTATCTTGACTGTTTTTATTGCAATGCCAAAGTTTATGTGGATGAAGGTAATGATGTCGGTAATCTTATTTGCAAGATTGATATTCAGTTTGTCAAAGTTTTCTTCTTACCTTGACTTTACAAATTTTGTTCAACTACTTTGGTTTTGATCATGTGATGGTTTTGCTCAGTTACTTGAAGATCCTGTATCATATGTACATGACTTTGTTGTTGTACCTGGAAGGATGCTGTCTGGGAGAGGCAATATACTTGTTTATCTAAATGACATGATTTTACGTGTTGTGAAAGGTAATCTGATGCTCCATAGCTGTGTTGTATTTCTATTATTTTATTAATTATGCGGTAAAATAAGACGTAAATTAATTAGCCTCTGCGTTTATTTGATGATCCATCTTTACATATTGATGTTAAAAGATACAGATCTCTGAATAATTCTTGTTTGCAATCTTTCCATGAGATGTAAATGGATGTACAGAACTAAACAAAATTTATGAAATTATGTTGGTCAGAATCATCAATTCGTGTCGGTTGATCTTAGATTTTGGGTATAAACAGCAGTTTGCGGGTAGAATTTCTGACGAATTTTCATGTTTCCTGGTAGCAGGAGTGGTCGGTATCTTTGTTTTTTTTTTTTTTTTGGGTAATCTATTTTCAGTAATTAATGTGCTTATTTTCATTTTGGTATGCACAGACGGGACTTCTGTAATAAAAGGGAAAGTTGAGATGCGGGCCCCAAGGCTTCATTACGTTCATCCTAGATATTTTGAGGCAGGCAAGCCCATGGAGTTTGTTGCCTGTGGAAGTGATTTATTACAACCCAAATTTCGGTAGGACTTCCTTTCAGGGTTTTCCACCTGTTGATAGTAGTTTATTGTGTTGTATTTTGATTCGGCCCCTTTCAGCTCTGTTGTTTTGAATCATGTATTATTATGATAAGATAGCTTTTCATGAACACGACATTTCCTGTCAACTGTAAGACTAGATTATAACGGAGGGAGGGGAAACTACTTGGTGACACTCTCAAGAGTCTACATAGACTTGTCACTAGTACATAATAGCTACTGTTCTTTGTTGGTCCAAAAGTGTAGCACGCATAGTGTGATCTTGGAAGTGCCAGAATATATTGATCAGAGATGTATATCAATTATGGCAGATCTGTAGTTGTCTGATGGCACATGATGATTACTCTTCTGATTTATCCAAATCAAATAATTCTGATTAATTTAAAGTTTTGCAGTCGGGTTTATGTTCTATAATATTCTGTTTACTTGTTCCATGTATGTAGAGAGCAGAATTATTGTCAAGTAAGTTGCCTAATAAAGATCATTATGGTGACAGGTTTCTTGTATCCTTCTCTGGAAAGTATCTGGCGTATAATTACTATCCTGAATCTTCTCCTAGTCAGATTGAAGGAGACACTGCTGCTAACTTAGACCATCAATTATACAAGATACATGTCCCTCAGACTGAAGCAAATTGTTTTGGTCCTGCATTTATTGAGGTAAATTTTCTGGGCTCTTTTCTTTTACCCTCCTTATGGTGTATATTCTTGTCTGATCATATCTCCAGACTCCAGCGATCATAATAGTGTTGTGGTATTCCATCATTCTGACAAAAGTAAAGATGTTATGATATGCATATTGTTGCTTGCATGGGTGTTTGACCATGTTTCTGCAATGCTGATTACTGATATGTGTCAAACAATTGATATTCACTATGCAGTAAACCCTTTTATGACCAGTGATTTATAAATTTGATATGCAACTTCTTTGATTGGTTAATGCATTGATGAGAAGTGTTGGTCTTGAAACATGGTATGTAGACAACTATGTAGCTACTGCTGATAACATTAGCCATAAGCTATATCTGTGGACTGGAATCTGCGATAGGTATACGGAAAATAGTAGGATTCATATGGATACAGTTGAAATTTTGAGGTTCACATGGAGACAGAAGCATGGTTACAAAAGCATTTTAAAGCATGGCACTTGGTTGATTTTCTTTGCCTCATAGTTTATCATTGGATGAATCTATATTGCAGATTGAGAATGAATCTGGCTTATCGAACTTTCTACCCATACTCATCGCGGACAAAGAGGTTTGTGCAGAAATGAATACTATTCAGAAGAGATATGAAGAATCTTTCTCTTTGCAAGGATCACGCTTTTCTTCTAGTGGTTCTCTATCAGACTCTTGTGAAGCATCTTCCCTGGGACACACAGCTTTTTCTGAAGTTATTTTAGATATAGCATGGTTACTTAAAAAGCCCTCATCAGAAAATTTTCAACAGATCGTGACTGCTTCACAGATCCAAAGATTCAACTATTTATTTAACTTTTTGATATCCATTAAGTCAACAACCATATTGGAGAAAGTTTCACAAAATTTGAAGACTCTGATGGATAACATGGAGTTACACAGTGCAAATGATGGCACCAGTGATGCTGACATGAGGCTCTTAAAGAATTACATGGATTATGCCCGTGATCGTCAAAAAATTGACAACTCAGGGGTTTTAGTACCATGGTCCGGAAGATTGGTGCAAAAAGAGGATATTGTTTCTCAAAGTCAAAGCTGCTTTCAGAATGTCGGAAATTTGGTTGTTCCGTTACAATGTCAGGTGAGAACTTTATTCAATTTTGGTA